GGGATACCTTTCACTAACTGTAGGATTCCTTACACCTATCTCCTTTTTAACTATCACCAAAGAACCCCAATCATGCTTAATGCTCTCCAGTATTTCATTATATGCGCCTTTGTAGACTCTAGTGAATTGAGCTAAACCAACTATTCTTGGAATGCTTTGTATGCCCCCAAGCTGTCTTGCAACCAAAGCAGGTGCATAACTAATATACCCAATCACCCCAATCAAAGGTACCCAAGGCTTTTTCCCACAGCCCATTAGGTATGCTACATTTTTCATCCATCGAGCTCTCCAATTAAAATTGCTTTGCGGAATTCCTTGCAATTTCACCCTCCAATCATCTTCAGAAAATTTTTCCCATTCACTTGATACAAATAACTCGAGTGGCTTTTGGTCAAACCACCAAAAATTTCGGAATACTGGTGTCTCAGATTCTATATGGCTTACCATCCAAATGAACAACAATGGAACACAACATCTCATAGAACCTTTCCCAATCCTTTTGCAATGATTGAGAGATAAAAAAGTTTCAGCCAAGATCGCAGCAGAAGGATTAATTTTGATCTTCTCATACTCCATAAACATATTAGCTGCCTCTAAACTGATAATTCCGGTCGTCGAAGGACACAAAATCAACCCAAATATCCCCAAAGCCAATATTCGGTATATCTCCAAATTGGCATCAATATTAGACTTTTTAGCAATCAAAAGCTCTTCTAGTCGTTTCCATCTCAAACCCCCAAAATTATTTTTTTCTCTATATAAGCTCATTTGACGGATTCCCAATAGCTTAGTGAGCTCCTCTATAGTATTCTCAATCTTTTGATGAAAGTAAACCTTATGGATATCCTCGGGAAATTCTATCAAAACACCGTATTCTTCAATGGTAGGAACCATGTCGATATTCCCAAATGTAAAACATCGATATTTAGGATCCTAAAAATGAATTAAGGTTTTTATGGCTAATGGTAGTACTGGAACATTCAGAAGATGCAAAACTCTCCCATACATCCTAGTAAATTCTGCCTCATCGGCCAAGTATTTGGTGAATGGAAGCAAACGACTGGCTTCATTTATTGTGCATCTCACATCTTTTAGTAGCGGTATCCCACTGTCATCCAGTCTAGGGCAGTCTCCCTCAGTCATATGCAATGATTCAGATTCAAGCTCATACTCAACCGTTGTGATTTCACGATTAACGACCATTATGTCACCTAAAAAAAAAATCATGTAATAAAGATGTTATATGTTAAGCTTGCCTTAGTGAGATTTACATAGGGAACAACTTAAAGGGTAAGTTCTAGTCATTAAATGCTCAAGGTAGGCTACTATCTAGTCTTTAAAAGGTCTTTCGCATGCTCAGTGATCTTCCTCGAAAGGTTGATATGAGGCTTACAAGTAGCGTGAAGATAGAGGCCCTGAATAATATCAGTTTAGGCATACCAACCACTATCGAGTAAACAATCAAGCGAAAGTTGGATGGTTTCATGAGTCTTACCCAGGCTAAAGCCATTGGGGTACCGCTACTCTCCCACTTAACATAAAGTTTATACAATAGATATTTATTATGAAATGCGTGGTGTGTGAAGGCGTCAATGCATATCCAATATATATGATGACATGAATAAATATGGATGCTAAAGTTGTAAAAATAAATAAACCAAATAGACCAAAACACACAACAAATATTGGTAGCAATTTTAACAAATAAAGCAAAGCTTAGTCTTAGTTCCCCAGTGGAGTCGCCATTCTGTCACACCCGACATCGCGGTAACCTAAAAAATATAATTCATGGAATGAAAAGAATGGATTTCTAGCATCCTATCCTTTGATGGGGAATTGTCTTTGTTTAAGGAGTAGCCACCTAGTATTATGGTTACTAGAAACCCTAACTGGTCAATAGAGATTCTATGATCCGAGACTGGTTAGATAAAAGGGAAGATATTATCACCCCTTAAACGTCCTACCTAAGGCAGGCTGCATTGCTGATCTTTGTCCTTAATTGCTAACATTTTTTTGTTGTTTATACTATGATTGTTTGTGTGTAATATCCCTGACTCTGGCGCCAGTGAATATTCAACTACGGATATTTCCAACTCCGACGTTGGTAAATATTACGTAGGTATCAAAGTAAACAAATCTAAATCATTATTTTTTTTATTCCTGACTCTGACATCAGTGAATAAAAAATAAAATCAGTTTATTATTATTTTTTTAAAAAAAGTAAAAATAAAATATTTTTAAATCAGTATCTTTTATATTCCTGACTCTGGCGTGAGTGAATAAAAAGATCAAGTAAAAATTTTATGAATGTATATCTTTATGTAATTAAGCAAAAGAGAAATACAATAAAATAAATTATTAACTTTATTCCTGACTCTGGCGTTAGTGAATAAACTTATAATTTTATTTTATTTTATTTTATTTTTATTTTTTTACCTACTTTTATTTTTTATGAAATTTAAACAAAGTTCAATGAAATAAATTTGAATTTTTATTCTGACTCTAGCTTTAATGAATAAAGAACAAAGAAATTCATTTTTTTTATTTACACATTCAAAAAAAAAATTATTTTTTTTATTTTTTTATTTTTTTTTATTTTTTTTTTTGGATTGGGCTGGGCCTAAGCCAGTGACCAGGATAAAAGTTGATGCACGCGTGAAACAATTTCACGCGTACATCAACAGTGTGAAGGTAATTAAGTTAATTAATTAAATCAAGAGTTTAATTGGAGAATTAATAAATTTTGATATTTAATTGAGCTTGGGATTAAGTTAATTAATTAAATTAAAAGAAATTGAGGAATTAATGAGTTTGAGGACTTAATTAAACTTTGATTTAATTAATTAAAAAAATCAGGAATTTAATTGAAGAAATACCAAAGTTTGGAGGTTATTTAGAGAAAATTATTGGAAAAGTAAAGTTTAAGGACTAAATTGAATAGTTCAGAAATTCAGGACTGTTGTGTAAATAACATATCAATTTAGGGATCTAATTGAAATTAACCGGAAAAAAATTAAAAGGAATTTTAATTGATTAAGGGGTCCAATTGCCGAATTTCCAAAGCCCAGGGGTCAAATTGAAAACTCCCGTTTCCCCGCCGTTGCCGCGTCTTCTCCATCCCGAGTCAATAGGGAAGTTTCCGATTCAGCAGGGGAGCTGATAATCTGCAACAAACCCGATCTTGGATAACATCTGTTGCCAATAATCTCGTTCAGGGATTCCATAACACAGTCCTGCAAAGACAGGACTGGCGGCAAGGCCAATTTCTCTATAAAAGGGAGAAGAAAACCAGGCGTGAGGGGGAAGAGGAAGAAAAAAAAACCCGAAAAATACCAAAGAACAGCCCAAGAATTACCGAGCAGAGCAGAAAAGAACCCAGAAAAATTCCACAGAAAACAAAGAAAAACCACCCCAGAACAGAGACAAAAAACAGAGCAAACCACATAAAAAAAGCAGAAATACAAAAAGCAATTGAGAAAGAAGGAGAGAACAAGAGAGCAGTTTACATAAAAGAGGAGAATTAGCTTCGTTATTGTTGTATTCCCTGCAGAGAAAGCAACCCGAAATCAGTGAAAAACTCAAAGAAGCAAAGACCCATCACCTTCTCAGCTTTATCTTTTGAAGAAT